GTATATCTGTATATATATATGTATATATATATACATATATGTATATATATACATACATACATATATATATATATATATATACATATATATATATATACACATATATATACTTCTAAAAGTCGTGTATCATGCATAGGAACGTTGACGCCTGCAAGGCTCTGGTTTCTGGATGTAATGGAGTTGCTTTAATATTAGCCTCCTTAAAGTAGCGAAGCTCTATGGAGACTATCGTTTTTTTTATCTGTGTTCATGTTTCCGTCGTCGTCTCGTTGTTGGTAATTGTTACTACGATAACAAGATTTAATATTAAATCCGATTGGTTTCAAACTTGACAGAATGCAAGGTGGTAATAAGAAGACAGAGTTTATTGTTTTTGGTATGTGTGTGAATATGCTAATTACTCATTTGCATAATTAATATCTCACAAATCAGGTAATTTAGACTAGGTACCAGAAAACTAAGTTTTCAAATTTTTGCAGAATGCAAGAACTTTTTAAAACGACAGAACCTGTTGTTTTTGGTTGGTAAGTATGAAATTTGTTTCAATTGACCGCGACCTGGCAAAATGCAAGATGGTAAAAAGAAGACAGTTTATTGTCTTTGGTACGTTTGTGAATATGCTAATTGCTTATTTACATAATTAATATTTCATTAATCAAGAAATTTACGCCATGGAGTTACCATGAAAACTAAGTTTTCAAATTTTTGCAGAATTCAAGAACTTATTAAAACAACAGAACCTGTTGTTTTGGTACGTGTCTGAATATGCTAATTGCTCATTTGCATTTCTATTATTTATGAAAAAATGACGAAACCTGTTGGTTTTGGTACGTGTTGGAATATGCTAATTGTCATTTGCTTAATTAATACTTCACTAATCATACTTTATCTGGAAATTTATGCATTTTAAAACTGTGCAAGCTCCTCCTTGCACAGTTTGCAAACTGTGCTGAATCTTGCACAGTTTTCAAATGTCTTAAATTGTGCAAGACATTACCACGATAACTAAAAGTTTGGTAAGCCTGATTTGTTTTATATTTTGCAAAATGCAAGATGGTAATAAAGTGACAAAGCCTATTGTTTTTATTACGTGTGTGAATATGCTAATTATTGCTGATTTGCTCAAAAAATTATATTTCACTAAGTAGGAAATTTACGCTAATACCGTAATAATTGACATAAAACATGTCTAATTTAGTTGAAATTGTATTATTCTTCATGTTGTCATTGTCGCTGCTGTAGTAAATTGTTTGTTACCATGATAATTAAAGTCTGATTGGTTTTAAACTCCTTCTTATGAAGTCTCAGAGAAAAAGTACACCTTGAGATGGCTGTTCTTTTACTGCGCATCATAAAAGGAGCATCCTAGTTAATGTGTGTTTTAGTGTAGTTGATGTTTGTGAAAACTTACGTGAGGTGGTAATCTTATACAACTCAACAATTTTCTTATAGTAGTCATGTTCAATTTAAATTTAAATCAATTACAGATATTCAATACCGGTATAATGGTTTTTTTTCAGTGATGTTGAAAGATCTAATCTCTTATAGATATAGTAGTTTAATCACAATAAAAGGTGTGGATTTTTTTAAAAACATTTTCTTATAAGAAAACAAAACTAAAACACATTCATATATAAAAAATAACAATAAGAAAAGTTAACAATGATTCCTGTTACCTGATAAAGCTCCCTATAAATTAACCTTTTTATAACACAATTTACGTAAAAGCATCTTTCACAACACAATACATCAGTGTGTTTCGCTAGATCTGTTAAGAGTAGAAAATGGTGATGAAAATTATGTTGCTAATGGTACAACAGACGTGTTGATAACTCACGTGTTAAACAAAGATTTTCGACGACTCCTTTTTGCATTCTGTCTTCAAACGACAGATGGTGATAATGTTGAGTGTTGATGACCAAAAGGTTAACTAGGCGATTAAAAAACGAATGATAATCAATAATGTGCGGAGACATACACAACATGGCAGAAAAATAATGTGAATAGCGAGAGGTCGTGCCAGGTTTTAGGCGGTGGGTGGCAGGGGGACTGAGCTGTCGGCCGTGTGGTGCGACAATTTTCGACAAGGACTAAAGTGAAGCCTTGATGGGGCCACAGTGTAGTAAAGCCTCCAGGCGCCTAAAAAAAAAGATGTTCTGTCTGTCAGGAACTGAAAACAAAATTCAATTCTATAATTTATTGCCTATTTTGTTAAGCTATTAACTTACAATTAAAATTTTGAATAAAACAAATTTTCAGTTAAAATTACGGAGAATCAAATAATATATTTTCCTGTTTCTTTCCGTATATCATTAATGTGGCTCTAACCAAATTAAGGATTTTGTAGTAAAATGTCGTTAAAGGAGTGAAAAAACCTTTTTTTCGATCTGTTTCTGAAAAAAGTTCATAAATTATTTGATACTTTGAGTTCGTTCTTGGTATATCTTTTCCCTTGAAAATATTCAACTTTACAACTTTTTAAAACAGCCTATGGGTTTAACTATAGAAAACAGTGTAATATTGCTTATGGTAAATTATCGTTTTAATTTCAGTACCTTTTAGAATTTTGATTTAAAAAATATACTGTATTCATTGTTTATATTTCATAATCAGATTCATTGCATTGCATAGAGTAGATTATAACTTTATTGTCTAACCTTCCATCGTTTAGTTGCATCCGTGACACCACCATATTGTCTTGTATGTGTTGGTCTGGAGCTACTTTCAGGAAAAGGAAAATTAAATTCGTGATATTTTATTAAAGCGGAATTTGAAGTAATGTCATCAAACCTTCATCCAATTGGACATTCAGCCTTATTAACAACACCACACCATACTTTTTTCTAATTCTTGTTCGTTACTTAGGCACATGGGCCATGAATTGCCAATAGCGAACTCAGTGATTGTCCTACCTATAGGTGGCAATCCCTTTTGCAAGACACTACAGACAAGATGCTCTACATAAACAAGTGTCATAGAACTACTGTACTAATATCCAATTTTTCTCAAAATAGACATGATATTTTTCTCATCAGATCTTTGATAAACATGCCTGGCAAAAGGATAGCTATTATTGGGGCAGGAGCTAGTGGTCTGACTGCCATAAAATGTTGCCTGGACGAGGGGTTAGTTCCAGTTTGCTTTGAAAAAAGTGAAGTAATTGGCGGGCTATGGAACTTCAGAGAAAATCGTGATGGACAGGCGAGTGTATTCAAATCAACAATTATCAACTCTAGCAAAGAGATGATGTGTTTCAGTGATTTTCCAATCCCGAAGAAATTTCCAAATTTCATGCATAACACGTACGTGCAGAAATATTTAGAGTTATATGCTGAGACATTTGACTTGAAGAAGTACATTTGCTTTCGGAGCGTTGTTGAGCATGTCACTCAGTGTGAAGACTTCAGGCAGACAGGCCAGTGGAAAGTGACGTTTAAAAATGTTGAAACTGATGTTACTTCGATCGAAGTATTTGACGGTGTGATGGTTTGTAATGGTCACCATTGTGACCCTTATGTTGCCAAGTTTGAAGGCCAGGAGAAATTTAAAGGGAGAGTCCTGCACACTCATGACTATATAGATTACCATGGGTTCGAAGGCAAGAGGGTTGTTATTGTTGGTATCGGTAATTCTGGTGGTGATGCTGCTGTTGAACTCAGCCGACATGCTGAACAGGTGAGAAACATTTTTATAAATTCAGTTACGTTTTTTGGTATTAAAATTAATAAATCATTCTCTTTTATGATTCAATTCATATTTTAAAAAAAAAACGAATCAAACCAATCCAAATATTTAATATTGGATTCAGATTTTTTTTTCAATAACTATGTTTAACATATTTAAATTTTATCACGTGACTGCCCATTCAAATATTAATGTTATATATTTTGTAGCAATTATAGAATTATAAAATAGTAGCCGATTGTTTAATTTTAAAATGTTAAATTTTCTTAAAGGTATTTTTAAGTACAAGAAGGGGAGCATGGGTTGTGAATCGTGTTGCAGACAACGGTCTTCCAGGCGACATATTACGCGGAACAAGATTTAATACAATGGTGCCAGCTTTGGTTGTCAATAGACTTGCAGAAAAGCAAGCTAATATGAGATTCAACCACACCAATTTTGGCCTTCAACCAGAACATAGATTTCTGTCACAACATCCAACAGTCAATGATGATCTTCCCAACAGAATAATCGCTGGCTTTGTGAAGATCAAGAGCAATATTAAATGCATCAACGAGACATCTGTGGAATTTGATGATGGAACGTGTGAGGATGACATTGACATTATTATCATGGCAACTGGTTACACGTACAGTTTTCCATTCATCGATGAGTCAATCCTGAAAGTGGATGCGAACCAGACATCGTTGTATAAGTATGTTCTGCCACTTGGAGTGACCCCATCAACCTTAGCCATCATTGGTCTAGCTCAGCCATTGGGGTCTACCATTCCAATATCAGAGATTCAAAGCCGTTGGGCAGCGCTTCTATTCAAGGGTGCTGTCAAAGCACCCTCGCAGTTTAGTATGCAAAAGGATATCGTCCTAAAGAAAGAGGTGATGGAGAAACGTTATGTGAAATCTCAACGCCACACATTACAAGTAGATTGGATTCCTTACATGGATGAGATTGCCTCAGAATTTGGCGTGAAGCCAAATCTATATAAGATCTTTCTTGTGAATCCCAGGTTTGCTTTGAAGTGTTTGTTTGGACCATGTCACCCTTTCCAGTATCGGCTGATGGGCCCTGGAAAGTGGGATGGTGCCAAAGAGGCAATAGAATCTGGGCTGGATAGAGTAATTTACCCAACAAAAACCAGAGTTTTGAAATCAAATAATCAAGCGGAGAGCGGAGGTTTTATGAAAGTGCTATGGGTGCTTGTACTAGTAGCAGTATTTGTAGCAATCGTGATCAAATACTGATATGTGTAACATCACACTTAATTAGTCAGATGCTTGTGATATTAGATGCTAAATTCATTTGTATTTACATCATTACTGCCTTATTACTTTGAATTATTTTCATTATTTTTGTTGGTAAAATTGTCAATATTTTTATGTACTTGTAAAATTTTGACATTTTTCTAATTAAATAACTTTTAACATTATTTAAATACCAGTAATACATTTTAAAATGTTTTAGGTTCGATAATATAATTATAGTAATATTTAAGTTTTATTGATTATACAGTATATTGTGATTGAAGTTTATTTTTAGTAAAAGTAGACTATGATGATAAAAAAATAAATTATAGTTAATTTTAAGGACCCTAAAAATGATAATTTTTAGTTTTTTTCGTAGTACACAATTTAGAACATACAAAAGTTATTAAAAGTTGAACTACCAGAAAGTACTTTAAGGCCACCAAAGTGGCGCCAAAACTGTGAAATAACCTTGAATTATGCGCTTTTTGTCTATGAATCGTTTTTGCTTTAACTCAATGTTTTATTCTGTCAGAGAATCATTTAAGACCACTTTAAATTTGATCTGATTAGTAATATTGAAATGTCATCCAATATGATCGTAATATTATATTTTTTTGCAAAGGCAAAAACTCAGTAACTATTATTAACCCTGGCAGTTCTAACGATCTGATATAATATTTATTATAAACCATTTAAAATATTTCTAATTGGCATATTATGTATATCACTAGTGTATTTAAAGAATGATTGTACTGATTGATGTAAACATCTAAATACTTTTTACAACTTGCACTCTTTTTTCAATGGTTAACTATATGAAGTCACGATGCATCTTATCTGAATTACTGAGGTTTTAAAATCTACATCTAATATTAATCTTTTTTGGAATATTTTGTAATCTTAACATATTAACATTTGAACAAGTACCCCAGACATCCGCATAATAGTCAATGTGTAGATAAAAAACGAGCAATATATATTGTTTTAAAATTAGTCGGGGAAATTAAAAGTTTTCAACCAGTAAAATAAGTTTATATTATAATATAGACTTTCCATTTCTCATCGAAAGTTACTCTTAAATACTTGGCACTTTAATCGGTATGCTTTTAAAAGTTAATGTCATATAACGGTTTAACCGTGTGGAACAGCCAAATAAAATGTACTTAGTCTTATCAATGTTTAGAGACAGTCTATGATTATAGATGTACGTACTATTATATATTGTATTTATATATTGGATCCAGATGATTTTTTTCAAGTCTATAGTTAACCATTGTTTTAAATTTTCAACTTGCTTTAGTTTTTCATTGGATTTAGAAGCATAGAACTTTGCAGTATCATCTGCATATACAGTAGTAGAATTTTACAAATGCTAGCAGTAGTCATAATGTAAATTATTTATGTATAAAATAAACAATAATGGACCAAGAATTTGAACCTTGTTGCACTACATAGTTAATGTTTACATAGTCTGACTTTTTACCACTAAACGTATCAAATTGTTCACGGTTTGATAGGTAATCTCTGAACCACACAATTTCGTCGTTCACAATACCAATATTACGTAATTTCTGTGTTAAAACATCATGTACGATATCAAATGGTTTTGAGATGGACAAAATATTGCACCAGTTTCTAAATGTAATTGCAGACTTCTATACATGTTTTAGACGTTGAATAAAATTTCCTAAAGCCAGATGGATTGCATTGAACTCATTAATGTGACTCAAAACTTCATTATGTATGCGTATTTCAAACATACCATCAGAACAACAGATATTTCTTCGATAGTTGTATATCAGTTTTACTTTAATAACCACCTTTGTAGAGCGCCGTGACTTTATGAACATTTCCATTCCTGTCTGTTATTGAACTTTAAAATGTTAAATTTACTTGAGGGTATTTATAGCTAGAAGGAATTAGATTGTGAACCGTGTTTCAGAAAATGTTCTTCCAGTCAACATTACTACATGTCACAAAATATAATACAGTGGTGCCAGCGGATATCAAACTCATGATTAATAACTTGATTATGTATGCAGGGTTCGTACGTCTTTAAACAAGCAAATTTCCATGACAATTCCAGGGCATTTCAGGTCAAATTTCAGGACACATTATAACGCTTACCAGTAAAATATTGGCGATTTAATTGATTACAAAACGTGTATGATGTACTAATTTTAAATGCACGTTATCTAACTCTAATTCGGAGACGATGGATCTGTCTCTTTTTCTCATGCTCGTCGAAACTTCTGTTTTCCTCACGTGTAAAAATTCGTTGGTAAGCAAAGGAATTCCCACGGGTATGGGGAAGGGCTGATGGCCTACAGTTTCAAATGTGTACGTACAACAATGATCTTATCGCTTAACGTGACAGTGCATTTTGTGGTACCGGTGCGCCAGAATAATTTTGATTTTTTTTTGTGGCGCTGCGGGGTGCAGTAGGCCTATACGGCTATCCAGGGTTGTTGTTCAGCGAATGATAACTGTCTCAGCTGTGGCAAAGTTGACATAGAGATACAGCTGTAAACAATATAGCCTTCTTCGATGGGTGTGCGTTGAAGAAGACGTTAATTTTATATATATTTATGTTTGTGAATGTTTAAACTTGCATTAACTGATGTACTGTATTATTAAATAATTTAATTAATAGTTAATAATATAAATGCCCTTTAAAGGCAAACGCACGTCAGGAGAGGGATTAATTACCCAAAGCGAATTCACCGGGCTGTAGTGGAGCACGTGCGACAAGACCTGTTAAACTGATTGAAAGTCAAATTTTATATTAATCTTTATAACACACAACAGAAAGCAAGTATAAACACCATAGAAAATATAAAAACAGTTTATGATTATGATTATCAATGTCTGAATTTTCAGCATTTGACATTCTTTGTCTTCGATATTGCTCCTGAATTGGCGGCGCACAAAGACAGTATCATGGGAACCTACTTGTGAGAACATTTCTCATTTAATTACTATTACTAGGCAACTTGCAGTATCGAATAAATGGTAAATGATTTGACCAAGCCGTCGTACCGGGCTGGGTAATAAGAGAAAAGAAAGAGGGGAGAGGGAGGGAAAGAGAAAGAAGAGGAAAAGAAAAGGAAAGAAAAAGAGAAGAGTAAAATAAAGACAAGAATAAAAAGGAATATATCATAATGACCAGACTCACAACACCCTGCAACCCCTTCTCCACTTCAGAAACTGTCATAACTCCTTTGATCTATGTAACCACTGGGGGACAAGGGGAAAATATCTATCTTTGAAAAATCTTCCCCACCCCTTTATAAATGCCCTTTTCATCCCCTGAAAGTGCCTAAAAACCTCAAACTTCGCATTTCTTGTTGACATGGGCCAATTTCCTCTAAAAATCGCACATTTTAGGGAGTTTTGATCAATTCCAACGAAATTAGAATTGAAAACACCTGGGGACAAGAGGAGAATATCCATCTTTGGAAAATCTTTCCCCACCCCTTGACAAATGCATCCTTTGAAAGTGCCTAAAATTCTCAAAATTCTTTGCGCGCATTTCTTGTTACGGTAGGCAAATTTCCTCTATAAATTGCACATTTTAGGAAGTTTTCATCAATTCCGACGAAATTAGAATTAAAAACACAAAAATATTTTACACGCTTCGCGCGCATTTTTTAGGGCTTTTTTAGGTTTATCCTTTTAAGTTACCGTAATCAAAAACACATAATAGTCCCGAACTCAAGAAAGTCAAATTTAAGATAGATCGTTTTAACCTAAAAGAAGGGCCTCAGTGTGTATTGATGGTGAAAGAATATGTTTGTAATAAATAAAACCATGATGAAAATGCTTATATTTAGTTTCAAACACACGTGTATGGCCTACCGTATATTATAAATAAGATAAGCCCTATGTCGTATTGTTTTCTATATGGGGAGTGGGGTGGGGTGGGTATGGTAAATTACTAACCGGGAAAATAAATACCACTCTGACCCAAGACCCCTGTTACGCGCCTGGTGTTAGCGCCAATGTGTGCCCTTGTGCGGACAGGGGATGTGCCCCCCTCTGAACAAGGTAATTTAACAAAAGGACGCACATCTCGGGACATCAAAGGTTATAACTCTGGCATCGACATTCTAGGCGCACGTGCGTCCCTACACATTGAACGTCACAAAAACCATAGCAGCCAAACCATAAACCGTCAGCGTACGTGACGATTTACCCACGCGCGTGTTAGTTGCCATGTTAGTCGCGCGTCGTGCGGTGATTACAAAGGCCTAATGATATTTTGCACTAACATTAGACTGAAATATATTCTTCATTTCAACATACTGAAATAT